GAAAGAGACGCACAGGGGAAGGAGAAAGAGAGCCAAGCTCTTTGCCAATCAACAAAAGAAATGAAATGAAAAGAAAAGAAAAGGAAGTGGATAAGATGGCTAGGACAAAAAGGGGGGGCAACCCACATGGGTTGTCTTCCCAAAATTTGTTTTCTCAAAAAAATAATAATTTTTGTAAGGATATTTCAAATTTTATAATATAAATTATAAAATGATATAATTTTTCTCACCACAAAATATAACATTTTTGTACGCGTAAGGATCCTCTAGAGTAAATCCCTGCAGTGATCTCCTAAAGTGTTTAATCCAAAGGCTAAAAATAAAACTCACCAAAACGACGTCGTTTTGGAGAGTAGTTTGAAAAAAAAAATTTCAATCAGTTCAAAACATCGAAGGTTCCTACAAATGCAAATATGAAGCATTAGAGAGAGAGAGAGAGAGAGAGAGAAGGGCAGAGAGTTTCCCACCCCCGATACGGCACCGCCGCCGTTGCCGTTGCCGCTGCCGCTGCCGCTCCGCTGGGTCGCCATACTCCAACAGATTGAAGGAAAAACCACAGGTTCATTCATCCTCCAAACTTCAAATATTAGGGCTTTGATTCCAAAAATTAAGGAAAAAATCAAAAAATATGTTCTTTGGGTTTTGAATTGGGACTTTTTACATGATTTATTTCAAATCTATACTTAGAGGAGCCGAACTGTAGATGATTGGAATCATCAAAGAAATTCATGAATATATATTTATATATATATATATATATATATATCTGTGTGTAACTAGTTATTTGTATTTAGGTATATAAGATAGTGATGGAGAGAGACATGGTGTTGAAATCAAGTTTTCTATGGTTGATCATAGTGGTTCATCCTCTGAGCTTTATTTGTGCAAATATGGAAGGTGTGTAGATGTTTACACTTTTTTTATTAAAAAAATATATATATATGTATGCAAATGGTAATCTTGATTATCTTGTTTGCAAAAAATGGGCATTTTTAGTTTGGAATACAAAGGAATGTAAGAGAATGATATATGTAATTAAGTTTGTTTTCTTTGGCATTGATTAATGTCTGTTGTTGAACTATTAGAAAATGGTAAATTCAATGATTTTGTGGTTGTTGATCTTTGTTTAGTGCAATAGATTCTTGAATGTTGAATGAGAAATGCTACATATTTTTGCATCCTTTTGTATCACCCCCTTATATTAATATCCAACCATTGTTCCTTGTTTAGAAATAATTTTTTAAGGAAATCAAATTATGTACCTATGATATTAAACAGTTAAAATAAAAGAAGTGGTGATTGCAGTCCCCTTCTTGAATTTATATATCTATACCTGTAGAAACTCTTTATTATACAATTTAATTTATGTTCTTAGTTTGGGTCCAATATGCACGAATGAGGCCTTGAAACAGAATGTGCTAGAATTGTTACACCTAATTTCTAGGAAATATTGGGGTAATTTTCTCGTAAATTATGAGTTAGTTTTTAAAGAAAAGGAAGTATAAGATTTGGGATGAACTAAATGTAGATGTTAGTGTTTCATTGTTGTTTTTTTGTTGTTCCATTGTTCTTGTCTAGATATTAACATTGGTGAAGAAGGCAAATTTGATCTCACCTTTATAATATGTTGTTATTTTAGGTTAAAAAATGTCAACATCAAATGCATCTATGAGTGACACTAGTGAAATTCAGTTTAGAAATCGAAAATGTCGTTGCGAGGTAAGAGCAGCATTCAGGATTTCAGAGTCAAAGGAAAATCCAAGGATGGTATACTTTGCTTGCCCTTTCAACAACACCAATGGATGCGGCTTCTTTGAGTGGTGGACGCCTTTACAAAAGCAATGTGAATGGTTAAAGATGGTAAGGGAGGAAAATGATGAAAATTGTAATATCAAGCCTTTAGTCAACGAACTAATTGTATCCAATGATGAGCTGAAAGAGATGGTTACAAAGTTTAGGAAGGAAAGGAAACAAATGGTTGTCGAGATTAGACAACTTCGAGAAAAGTTGCACTACGCCATTGTAATAGTATTAATAGGATTTGGACTTCTTCTTTTCTTGTTTAAATATTAAGTGTAAATTAGGTTTGGATTTGGACTTCTTTTGTCAACTAAATATTAAGTGTAAAATTGTGGACTTGAACTGCACAATGTGGTAATGTTGGCTGTGTAATGTTGTTGTAATGTTAAGTGTAATGTTGATTGTTATAATGTTGTTATAATGTCAAGTGTAATGTTGACTTGAAGTATAAGATTGTGTAATGTTGTTGTAATCTTAATTGTGTAAATATTAAGTGTAATGTTGATTGTGGACTAAATATTAAGTATTAATGTTGATTGTTGTAATGTTGATTGAAATGCACAGGTCATGCCTTTGCTTTGTTTGTCAACAGGTCATGCATTTGTATCAACCCTTTGCTTTGTTTGTTAACAGGTCATGCCTTTGCTTTGTTTGTCAACAAAGAATGGTTGCTTTGGTTGCTTTGTTTGCCAATCAACACCATTTGAGCAACATTTCAGAGCAACATGTCAACAAAATTTCCAGCAACATTTGAACCAAAATTTCATGAAAAAAAAATTTGCAAAATTCCAGCAACATTCAGCAACATTATCAACATTATTTCAGCAACATTTGAACCCAAATTTCACCAACATTTCAAGCAAAGTTTCAGCCATTTTTGAGCAACAATTTCAGCAACATTTTAACAAAAATTTCATCAAATTTTTAGCAACATTTCAAGCAAAGTTTTAGCAAATTTTGAGCAACAGTTTCAGCAACATTTGAATAAAAAATTCAGAAAAATTTCAACAACATTTCATGAAAGGTTTTCAATATTACATATCCAACAAAAAAAATCAACACTAAGATATTGAAGTGTGATCCACATGCCCATGCCCACAGCTGCGCCCACGACCATGACCATATAGTACCTAAAAAAAGAAGAAAATAATATTACATCAAAGGAACCATAAAATAAAATGGAACTTTAAATGAATGAATAACAAAATAAAAGAGGAACGGTGAAAAATAAATTACTTCACTATATGTGGGATTATTTGAGGCTTGCGAGTCATAACCACTTGCATTGTTAAGCAATGCTTGATAGGTTCCATGGACGGAATACATCGATGGCATTGAAAAAGGCATATTGTGATGAAGAAAACTTGGCTGCAACAATAACAAACACATATCAATTTAAAATGATAATAGTCACCTACAAATAGATAATAAAACTTCTTATTAAACTAACTTGCATCATAGGCGGGATACATAAACTGAGATGAAGAAGCTCTAACTTGAGGAACACTCTGAGAGAATGGAGGAAGTTGAGGAGCACTTGAAAATAAAGGAGCCAATTGAGGAAAACTCGGCAAAAACAAGGGAGGTGGTTCAGGAGCACTTGCCGAAAATAAGGGAGGAGTTTGAGGAGTAATAGACATGGAAGTTTGAGAAGCATTATGTGAACTTGTTTTATTTTTCTTTGCCAATGCAAGCTCCAAACCACCTTTTGTCCGCCTTCGTCCCTTGCTAGTGCACTCTCTTCTCTTGAGTCATTTTGCTTGAACTACATTTTTATCCATTACACCATCCACTTCAAAGCTTTCGGGGCATGTGTCGGGGGGGAGGGGGGGTTTCTTGTTGAATAGTATCTGGACAAGGCATATTGAATTTTGCGCTTAACATGCTTTCAATGTTTGCAATTAATTCATCCGCTTTCTCTACCATCAAATTATATGTTTCCTCACTTTCAAAAGGTCTACACACTACTGCTCTGAATATTGCCATCAATGATCTATAGCGTGAAGTTTGATGCAATCTTACATCAACCTTAATATCATGCCCACACCTATCTTTCACATTTTCTACTCTTGCTTTTTTAGTCCATCTCTTCAGAATATATTGTGAAGGAATCTCTTTGAATTTGAGAGTGTCCCTAAGGATCTTCAAACAATGACTACACAAAATGCCCTTCATTTCAAACTTCTTATAATTGCAAGTGACTGAACCATCACACTCCTGCCTCACCTTCCTCACCTTTATACCGTCGATATCAAGAACCGTATAAACGGTACTCTCACCATCATTTTTAGTTTCTTCAATGTTTACTTCAAGGGACTTGACATACTCATCCTGAAATTCTTCAAAAAATTTATTTGTGTAAACATCTGCAGCTTGCTCCATAATCTTCACTTTATTATTCACCCTTAGCAACTTTTGGCATAGAGCATATTCAGCTTGTAACTCTTTGTACCTCTTCTCACAAAGAACTCGATCAAAATGCATGAAAAATTGCATTAAGTTATGATCAGACTGAATGAAATCCTTCAAGAAAGCATTAAAGGATTCACTAAGTTGGGTGCTACTCATGCCCGCACCCCATGCATTTCTAACATATGGCCAACCCCATTTTTCCTTGACCCCAAATGTTAACTTCAACCAATGATTATCTCTTACTTCATACTTGTCAAGCATTTCCTCTCATTTTAACGTAAACTCTTCCTCATCCTCAATGTTGTACATAAACGTGGATAAAACACTCTTCATCCCCTTATCCTTCACCGCCTTATCCTTGAAGATAGAATTTGCATGCCTTAATGCATTTTGCATCAAATGCCAAGTGCAAAGGCAGTGGGTTGTGTTAGGCATGACAATAGGTATGGCCTTAGCCATTACAGCATCCTAATCCGTAAAAATTATTTTGGAGCCTTACTTAACATTGCCTCCAAGAATCTTCTAAAAAGCCATATAAAAGAATCAGCAGTCTCATCATACATCAAAGTTGCACCAAATATCACAATTTCCCTATGATGGTTAAATCCAACAAAAGACACAAATGGTCTATGTGCACTATTTAACTTGTAAGTAGTGTCAAAAGTCACAACATTACCAAATTGCCCATAATCCATGATCATCTGAGCATCGGCCCAAAATATGTTTGTAATCTGCTCCTCGTTATCTAATTAGACCGAGTAAAAAAAAGTGGATTCTCCTATGATTTGTCACAAATATTGCAAAATGCTACCTGCCTCCCCATATGCTAAACTGCTTTGCCTCTTCGTTCTCAAATAATTTTTTTGGTCCAGTTTTGTGAACCCAAGCGACTCCCTTCCACCAACTTCATTACCCACGAGCTCAAATGCAGCATTAAGACGGATTCTAGATTTTTCGACTAAATCTATTTTGGTTGCCTGTGATGCAGATATCTTCCTTTGGGATGGTAACATATGCGTACATTCTGCTAGTACAAAGATATGATTATGTTGTTCAACAAAATCACTAACAAAAAATTTCGGAATATTCCTATCCCACTTAATGACAAGTCGGGCTTGACAACCAGTCCTCACTTCCTGCCTAGGATTTTTTGTTAATGGTTCTCGCTTGTCGATAACCCGAAATCCCCCCTTATTACAAATAAATTGCCTTGAAGTGATTTGCCCCTCTTTGCTCTTGTTTACATAACCCCTTCTAATACTAAAGCCCAACCTTCCTCCATAAGCATTATAGAAATCATATGCTTCTTGTTCTGTATCAAATGTCATGCGAACTCTATGCTTCCAATCACAATCACCCCCGTCATTCTCAACATTGTTAGGTTCCATATCAATGTGCCAAGTCACTTAAAAAATAAGTAAGTGCTCAATATTAACATAAAAATTGTAAATTACGTTTGCAAAATAATACAAACTGAATAAGATAATCAAGGAATAACAGAAATTAGATAATCAAGGCAAACAAAAAAAATAGAAATTAACAAGAACCAAATGCCAAGTGAATTAATAAAACAAGAACCAAATGCCAAGTGCAATAATAAAAAAAAAACTTGTTCTAAACATATGTAATAAAAAAATAAAAATAAAAAAAGATAATCAAGGCATGCTACGTGCAATAATAAAAAATACATGTTCTAAACATATGTAATAATAAAAAATAAGATAATCAAGGCATGCTAAGTGCAATAATAAAAAAACCTGTTCTAAACATATGTAGACTGAAATTTTGAAAACCTGTTCTAAACATATGTTGACTGAAATTTTGAATTTAACTACTTAATAGACCCATACAAAAAAAAAGAAGAAAAGGAATTAGTTTTCATTTCATCCAGGAAACACCTAAACTATCTATAAATCTATATATATATAAAAAAAACCTGTTCTAAACATATGTAGACTGAAATTTTGAAAACCTATTCTAAACATATGTAAACCGAAATTTTGAATTTAACTACTTAATAGACCCATACAAAAAAAAGGGATTATTTTTCATTTCATCCAGGAAACACCTAAACTATCTATAAATCTATAATATATATATATATATATATAATCACAATGAATATCTGTTCTAAATAATCAAATTCTCCAGGGATTGTTCTAAATCTATATATATATATATATATCTAAACTACTGTTCTAAATAATCAAATTCTCCAAGGATTGTTCTAAATCTATATATATATATATATATATATCTAAACTGCTGTGTATATATATAATGTATAATGTATATATATATATTATTACAGGGATTGTTCTATAATCAAATTCTTCATGTAATAATCAAATTCTCACTGTATAATGTATATATATATATAAGATAATCACTAGGATTGTATGTTTTAAATACCTATATTTTCTTCAATCGGTTGGAGCAGGGGGTCGACGGCGGCAGGACAGTGGCGATGGCAGGACAACGGTGACAGTAGGGCGACGGCCACGGCGGGGCGACGGGATGCAGGAAGTAGCGGCCTCTCTATCTCTTCTTTGCTCTCTTGTTCTTTGTTTTCTTCTTCTCGCCATCTGGTATAGTTGAGCCATATAGAGGGAATTTTGAACTGACTGAATTTTTTTTTATTTTTTTTTCAAACTACTCACCAAAATGACGTCGTTTTGATGAGTTTTATTTTTAGCCATTGGATTAAACACTTTAGGAGAGCACTGCAGGGATTTACTCTAGAGGATTCTTATGCTTTTTGTACACCACAAAATATAATATTTTGCTCATTACGAAATATACACATTTTCATTCTTTATAAAATATATAATTTTTCACCATATGGTGCACACCATAAAATCAACTATCAAATATTTATTATAACCCCTATATAATAAATAATAACAACTCCCAATGTGGTTACTACAAATCACATAATTAAAAAGGACAGTTAAACATGAGTCACTAAATAACTCAAATTAAATTAAATCTAAATCATGGGTCTCACCCATAAGTTAAACATCACCCAATTATACATCAAAGTAAACCCAACAAACTAATCTCAAGTCATAGCCTAAACACCCAAAACTCAATATGAAATTATGTTGTACACTAGACTGAACGCTGATCAATCTGTGACTTTTCATAAAATAAATACTCATCAATAAATTCTGAAATTTTTACCCAATGTGTTAGACTCGTATGTGAACAACATATAAAAATTTCATAATTTTATGAGATCGAGAACTATTTTAAAAAAATACAAAGCCGAACTATTTTCACACATAATTTATACAAAAGTCAAATCTAAAAATTTGCTCAATTAAATTATGCATTGTCTATTTAAAAAAAAAATTCTTGGTAATTACATCCTCCTAGTATGCTCAAAAGTGAATTTTGAGCAACTTAATTTCTAGCAATTTTGAAAAAACACCCTCTGTTTTTTCGAAAAACGACCGACAAGGCTCTGATACCACTTGTTGGGGATCGGGGATCCCGCCCAAGACCTTCTAGAAATCATACCAATCAAAAAAACACACCCTATTTTTTCGGAAATCGATCGACGCAGCTCTGATACCACTGTTGGATATCACCCCATGTGAGGTGTAATCTTTTTTTTTCATGTGCTGCAGCTAGGGGTGTAAAAATGGCCCGAGGCCCGTGAGCAACCCGAAGCCCGAGGTGGGCCCAGCCTGTTTCAGTCCGGTTAAGCCAGAGTGTCACGACCCGCTCCCCGTACCCAAGGGTTAAGCATCGTGATGGCCAGTAACCGAGGTTACCTCCGACCAAATCTTTAAACAAATTAATAAACGCAAGCGGAAGAAATATTTAAATAAGGGTACTAAATAATCATTGGAGTTTCTATTTTTATTATAAAATGTATTGACCAAAAAGACCGATATTTACATAAAAAAAATACATCAATAAAAGTGTTTTATGCCTACCCCACACGCTGGTCCTGACATGTCACCTGAAGGTGGTAAAAAACTATAAGCTCATGGCAGAGTGAGAAATATTATACTATGAGTATAAGGCATAAAATTCACCATGGATAATTAGTTGGGCCAAAAAGAGATTGATACATAACATACATAATACGGAAATCATTTGACATAGACTTCAAATCATTTAACATGTAACACGGAAATCACTATACAACCATAACCATGGTATATCACTAAGTGCCAAGCACTACACTGGTCAATGGATCCACGACAAACACTGGACCACAAAGTGGTCAATCACTAAGCCAATGGTTATTTAAGTCCCCCAAGGCATGGGACTCTCGTGGTGGTACTCACAAAACATATTTTCATATAAGGTCATAGCCAAATATTCTTTAAAAGCAAAACAAACGTATCCATGGGTTTCCTTTTAAGCAAATAGGGTTCATAAAATAATCCACGTAACTGAAACCTTTATAAAACATAACTTTTATAAATATACTAATAAAACATAACTTATATAAAATAGGTTTTGGTAAGTCAAAACATAAGTAAAATACATTTTGGTGACTCAAGGTATAATATAACTCACCTTAACTTTAATACCTTACTATTTCTTTCCACTATCAAAGATCTTCTTAGCTTCCACTAATTTTTCCTCTCTTTCCTCTCTTTCTTTTCCTCTCTTCTTTCTTTCTTCCTTTCTTCTCTTTTCTTTTCCTTTCCTTCTTTCCTGGTCTTTTATTCTTTTTTTCTCCTCTCACAGAGTCAACTTTTTCCCTATTAATAGAGATTGATTTCGTGAGCCCCAAGCCAAACTGCCACGTGTTGCCTTCCTATTAATCTCCATTAATTCAAGTCTATCTAAATTAAGTCAATTAATACTTTGACTAATAAATTATATTATTTTACAAAATAATACATATTAATACAAAATAAATCATATATTTTTTTAGTTAAATAATATTAGTATAAATTCTACAGAATAATTAAAAATCTGGGTCGTGACACCGAGCCCGAGCCCAACCCAGTACCTTGGGCCTGGGCCTTCTATTTTGGGCCCCGTGGCCCGGCCTGGCCCAAAAAATTTCGGGTCCTGCGGGCGGCCCGACCCGGCCTAACCATCAAACCCTCTGTCTACCAATGATCAAATTTCAAAAAATAAAAATAAAAAACAACTTACAATAGTTAAATAATTAAAATAAATAAATAAATAAATAAAAAGATAAATCTTATAAAAATAAAAAAAATAAAATAATTAAATAAATAAAAAGATTGATCTTATAAAAATAAAAAAATAAAATAATTAAATAGTTAAAAAAACAAAAAGATTGATCTTATAAAAAATAAAAAGATTGAGCTTATAAAAATTAATATAATTAAATAAATAACATTTATAATTTAAAAATAAAACAAAAATTAATAATAATTTATTAAATTAAAATCAAATTAATAATTGTTTGATGGAAAATGATGATATGATGTATAACGCCATGGCTGGCAATGGCAGTGCACAGTCTATGTGTGTGTGTGGCTGGCCTTATTTATTTATTTTTTTTAATTTCTTACTTCATTGTTTGATGGAAAAGTGTACCTAATGTGAAAGAAAAAAAAATTATATATATATTTACTAAGTTGGAAGGTACTACTAGGGCCGTGGGGGCTCACCACGAGTCCCATTTTGATAATCCGAACCGTTCAATATGTAGAACTCTTCCATTACTATATGCCTGTAAAAAATCACGTTAATCGGAAATCACTAACTACATGATCAAATCAATTTGGTATAAAAATGCATAGTGTTATAGTTAATGGTTGACCAAAAAAACTAATCTGATCAGATAGTTATAGATATCCGATCAACGTGATTTTTTACAAACATATAATACTCGACGAGTTATACACATTGACGGTTCCGATTAGCAAAACGAGACCCGTGATGGCTCCCACTGGCCAAAGAGCACCGTTCAAATGGTTGCCCAAAAAAAAGGCAACCATTTCCTAAAACTTTGCCATGCCACCGTACAGCCTCTACCTCCTATTATAGTACCAGCCTAGCCTCAATTTTAAGTCGTTGCATTGCAAATTTGCATCTCCTACAACTCAAACGGATATATATAAAACGATCATAATTCAAACGGTTAGAATTTAAACTACTATATATATTTCAATTTTCAAAATAAATTTCACAACAAATCATTCTCTCTCTCTCTCTTAAACTCTCTCAATCTCTCTCAACTCTCAATTAATTTTGAAGTGCCATCCCTAAGTGGCTATTGCAATTGTGCAACAACAAATTTTTAGCAGAAGAAGAAAATTTCTATATCGCATTCGCCAGTCGGTAACATTAATTAGTTTAATTAAATTTATTAACTACTCATTTTTTTCATTAATTATTTATGCACATATATTAATTATTATTTTTTACCGATTAAATTTACACA